CCCCTGGGAGCAGCCTGAGACCAAACCCTCCCCATGCAGCCCTAGGGCACCTCTCCCAAAGAGGATGGAGGGGGGTGTCTTATCTGCCCCCCCAAGCGCTGCCCACCCTGGGGCAGGGACTGACCAGGCTGGGGGCACTGCCTTGGGAGAGGCTTCTGGGGAGCAGCGGGACTGGCCCTGCTGGAGATTTCCCCTCCAGGCTGCAGTCCAGGCTCTGGGGGCCCAGGAGCTGCCATTACTCAGGGATCTGGCCCAGAACGTGGCCCCAGTCACCATGAGCAGAGCACCACCTCCAGCTGTGGGGGCCCCTGCCCACCGCTGCTGGGTCCTAGTGAGCAACTCGCCATGCTGCAGCCCCTCCTGCCCCGGGCACAGACAGCACACCCCACATCAAGGCAACGCCATGAAGAGAAGCCAACACAGCGCTGGGTGCAGGGAGAAGAGACAATCCCAGGGAGAGGAGAAGGGAGGTTTCTGGACAGACTGGGCCTTGCTCCAGAGTCCCGCCGAGCCATCGTCAAGGAATGGGCATGGCCTGGCAACATGCCACAGCCCGGCAGCCAATGGCTTGCGGACCGGCACCGGTCTGCAGACAGGCGGTTGGGAACCATTGCAATAGAGGACAGCAGGAAAGAGAGAGGGTGAAAGGAAGTTTACTTAACCCCATATTTATGAAGCAAATTATTGTTGCTGGATATAGAACCCTAATTTTGGTAACTAGATCCTTTAGTCTCTTTTTTCAAATTCATGTTACATATTTTTAAAAGGAGTAAATTTACAAAGCAACTCCAGACTGACAATAGGCATATAGGTTAGGGCTCCAAGATGGAGAATTTTTAAAAAAATTGAAAACATACAATTTTTAACATTTAAATTGGGTATTTTTTTCTAAAAATAAAACTATTTACAAATTTAATCTAAAATCATGAAAGCTTAAAGTAAATTTAGATCTTAATGTCATCTATTAATAAATCAATAATTTAAAAGAATTAATGGTTAGCCGGACATGTTTGCTGTTGAAGTTTCAAAAAGTCAAACCACTGACTTGGGAGAAGACACTAGCTAAGCTCCTGGAACCAGAGTTTGCTGAAGCGCTAAACTGTCTTTTGACAGCTCTTCATCTCAGTTTATTCAGCTAGCTCAATTCAGCAAGTAAATCATTGGAAATAAATTGACTGCAAGTTAAAAAGCAGGAATCTTCCAATCTGTGCATAAAAATTAGGTAGGAGAGAATATAACTAGCGAAGTCTTGAAGGAACAACAACCAGAAACAATCTTGTTCAGTTCATTTACTACATATAGTACTTCATTTATTTACTATATCAATTTATTTCGAATGCAAAATATGTTTTAACTTATTTTTTATAGATTTTGTAATGTATTTCCAAATTCCAAACTAAGATTGACGCAAATAATGAATAAAAAACCATAAGTAAATGTAGAGTGATTGCACGCATAAATATAATGTAAAAAAGTAATTCAGGAAAAATTCCTTGCCTACTCTTGCAGTCTATTTGATGGACACAGTTACTAAAATGAAATTAAAGTAAGAAGACTTTCAACTTATGTCTGCAGAATAGCTGGAAGCAAACTTTTGAAACTGAAAACCTTAGGATTTTCTGTTACCTGTCAGCATGTGTGTGTGTGTTCCCCAAGGAAATCAGATCTGCATGATGGGATTCCTGAAGGAACCGAGTCTTTACTCTTCTCCCGGCACTGGCAGGAAACAGCTGAGTGGGAATACAGGGGGATATGTTTGTTTTCCTTTTCTCATTCTCCCTCTTCTCTCCTCCCCCCACTCCCCACCTCCCCCATTGTGGATAGTACTTTCCTGATTGGGGAATCCTTCAAAGGAACTCCTTAACTGACTAGTTAGACCACAACAAGCATCTAAAGAAATTTCTATTCTTTAACTGCACAGACTATGAATCTCCTTGGCAACTTCTACTCTGATCCTTCTACCTCTGAAGAGTCAAACTGGTTTCACTTATATATTTTATAACAGTAATTGGCACATAAAACTGACAAATCTGAGAGACTGAAGTAACCTAGATAATAACTGGACTTGTACTTTGTCAGAAATGGTATCTTGCCTTTTTTATCTCTGAAACCAAATAGCTAAGTCCACTATGAGTAATAACTGGTAAGCATAGAACTTAAATGTCAAAGGGTGGAATATGTTATCCCCTCACAGCAGCAGTATCTGCAACTAGTTTGCTCACCAGCTTACAGAAGCCTTCCACTGAGACAGCAGCAGTATCTGCAACTTTAAGGGTTGCTCACCAGCTTACAGAAGCCTTCCACTGAGTCAGATTATCAATTATCACTCTCCCCTTTCGCATGCCATTTCCTCCTAATGATTCAACTAAGAACATGTTATTGAACAGCAACTAAAGCTTAAGGTCTAAGCACAAAATAAAGAACCCCAAAACCTACAGTCTATTAAGTGTCACCACTCTGCAAAGATACAATTTAGTTTTACCCCAATATGACCCCTCAAACCACAAATATCCATGGCTCACTTAAAAAAAAGCAAAACCTCAGTATGCAACAGAACATAACCAGTTTTGTTCAGCACAACTTGTTTTGTGAAGTGCATGTTTAAATATCTTACCACTGATAATCCTAAATCAGTAACGTGACAGAAGTACCGTGCTCTTGGAATTACCAAGTCAGCCTGAAAACACAGACCAGTGCTCCTAACCTCCCAAAACCTTCCTTAGCTCTTGCCCCCTAAGAGCCTTACTCTACATTGATGACATCTTCATCATATGGACCCATGAGGAAAAAAAACCCTTAAAGAATTTCACAGGGATTTCAACAACTTCCACCCCACCATCAACCTCAGCCTGGATCAGTCCACACAAAAAATCCACTTCCTTAACAATACAGTACTATTAAATGATGGACAAATTTCCACCACCCTATACCAGAAACCTACCTACTCATACACTTACCTTCATGCCTCTAGCTTCCACCACAGACAGTTCCGAATCTGCTGTATACAGCCAAGCCCTAACATACAACCAGATTTGCTCCAACCCCACAGACAGAGAAAAACACCTACAGGACCTATGTAGAGCATTTTTAAAACTAAAATACCCACCTGGAGAACTGAAAAAAACTGATCAATAGAGCAAAAAAAGTACCCAGACATGAACTACTCTGATCAAGAGAGCAAAAAAAGTAACCCAGACATGAACTACTTCAAGACAGACCCAGAAGAAAAAACAACAGAATTCCACTTATCACCTACAGAACGCAACTTAAATCCCTCCAACGCATTATCAACAATCGACAACCTATCCTGGAATATGACCCCTCACTCTGAGGCCTTGGGAGAAGGCCTATTCTCGCTTACAGACAACTATGAGCCTCAAATTCTATCCAGTGAACCACACAACACACCTCCATCATAATCATTCTGGAACCCACCCCTGCAATCAGCCCCGGTGCAAACTCTGCACACACATCTATAGTAACAATTTCATCACTGGACCCAATGACATCAGCCACCAAATCAAAGGCTCATTTAACCACACATCCACTAGTATGATCTATGCCATCAAATGTCAGCAATGCATATTGGCCAAACTGGACAATCTCTACGCTTCCGAATTAATGGACTCAGAACAGATATCCAAAAAAGCAACACGCAAAAACCTGTTGGAGAACACTGTAATCTTCCCGCAACTACTTGAAATATCTACTCACCATCTACATGTTTTGTTGATCCTTAGAGTGCTGCTAGACTGATAGTTGTTTTTTAAGTTTTATCCTCTCTCTGTCTCTTTCTTTCTCCTCCCCCCCCCCCCCCCCCCCCCGGCCGCTTTATTTATCCTTGGATCTGGACTCATTATACTCTGGTCATCTGAAGAAGCGGGTTTTGCCCATGAAAGCCCATGATAACATCTACATGTTTTGTTAGTCTTTAAAGTGCTACTAGACTATTTGTTGTTGCTTAAGTTTTTCCTGTTACAGATTAACTTGGCTACCCCTCTGAAGGTCCCAAATGTAAGCATTCATAGGACTTCATAGGGATGTTAGTGTGTAGTTGAATAAACGATTAACTAATAAGCCTTATAGGTTATTATCCTATCAACTGCACGCCCTCCCCCGACTTGCTGACTCTATACACCCTGTTATATCACATGGGCTGACCAGTGCTTATTTGAACACTGAAATGCTTGGCCTTCAGCCTTTAATCAAACATGAAAACACTTTTCATTCACTGTTATAACTAGAGGCACAAACAGTGAAAAAGGTCTTTGAAACCCAACTGGTTGAGTAACCAACTTCCCATGCCACATAGTGTAACTTACACGTTTGATTTTTATTGTACCATTCTATTAATATTTGTACAACACTCAGAAACGTGAAGCACTATGTTAAGTGCCAAGTATTTACTTTTCTTACTTCAAAAAGTAGATTACATAGCAAACATAGCAAACAGAGAAAAAATAGTTACAGAAAGGTAGGTAACTGCTGTTCTTTGAGATGTGTTGCACTCGTCCATTCCACTATCAGTGCATGATTGCCCCATGCACAGTTATTGGAGATTTTTCATTCAGCAATACTACTGCAGCAGCATGCACATCCTCTGGTGATCTGCACAACCACATGCAGGTATAATAGATCACACTGCCCTAACAAATCATATTCACTTATGTGTCTGATAATTCTGTTCATTATTATAGTTTCAACCAATTTGCTTGGTACTGAAGTTAGGTTTACCAGCCTGTAAATGCTAGATGTTATCTCTAGAGCTTTTTTAAAAAATTGGTGTCATTTTAGCTATTTTCCTTTCATCTGGTACAGAAGGGAATTTAGTGCTAAGATTACATTACCCCAATTGTTAGGTCTTCAAAACTCCAGCGAATACCATTTGATGCTGGAGACTTTCTACTGAATTTATCAATTTGTAATAAACCTGCTTTCAGTTCAAGCAGTTTTAAAAGATACATATTCTATGCGGAACAGAAAGAAGCAATTCCTTTGGAGATGTTCCCTGTTAGAAGGAAAATACATATTGACTAGCATAACCATCTGTGTATCCAAAACACAGATTTTAAGGACTCATTTATTTATTCCTGTAAGCACAACTTTGGCGCTTCATTGGCGCTAATTATTTTGTTATATATCATGGTTATTCAGTGCAGAAAGTGCCATCTTTCAGAAAAGTAGAACAAAGATCCTAACCACTTATGGCCAATGATCACATGGCCCTTTTTTGCAAGAAGAGAAACAACTCATCTCAGCTTGTGGAAAATGTCAAGCTATAGTATTCACATTTCAGTCTATTTAAATCTCCCCTGAACCCCAAAATGTTGTGTCAGATGACTGGAAAATGTGTGCTACCCCAGAACATATGGCATTATCATAATGAGTGCAAGTTTAAGGACCCTCATGCTCCACTAGCTAACCCACAAATTGGCTCACATCATCCACTGGGGCTCCATGCAAGTGCATGGGGTTCTACTGTGCAGTCCTTAGTGCAGCAAAACAGCCTATATGCATAAAATAGGTTCAGGATCAGATTAAGACTTATGAATTTAACATAGTACTGTCAATACTTATGAACTGAGAAAGGACTCAATATATATAGTCCTTGTATGTATAATGTATAAAGGAGCTTTGATATCAATGTTGACATGTAAACAAACTGATCTGTGTCAAATATGAAAGAGGTGGTCACATCCATATATAAAAGGATCCTCTAAAAGGCAGGGGAAAAAAGTAAACTTCAACTGAGTGCACATAATGGAAAGAATAACTTGGGTTAGAAGCCCCGATAAATGTAATATTCATCCATTCATTCTGCCAGGACCTAAATGGACAGGCCTAAGGGATTATAGATGCTTATGAGGGTGAATAAAGGAGCTACCTGTAACCTATGGACTAACAGGATCAGCTGGGTTTACATCCTGTTTTAAAGAGTTTTAAGAAGCTGTCCAAAAGGCAGAAGGTCATTTCACTATATTTTCAGGATTTACTTAAGAAAACAAAAGCACGAGTTTCTCAGTGTAATTTCTGGTGCTTTAAAAAAGAACACACAGAATTCCATCAGGTAGAACTACCATGAACCATGTAGGGTTTATCAGCTGAGTTGAGATCTTCAGAGTCAGAGCCTCAGACCTTGAACTGTTCTTGAACTCGTGTCATGGAGTAACCGGTGCTAGGAACAGGTTGTTTTCCTCCATGTGGACCAGCCTCTATAAGGGCTTTATCAGGGAGCGTCACAGCTAATTGCTAGTCAGCACAAGAAATGTTGAGTCTTGACTCGAGCTTAATTCCAGGTTCTAGAAGGGAGTGTGCTCTAGATATACAAGCATGAATCCTTTCTCTCCCCTGCCCCACTTTCTGTTTCTATTGCCTCTTTTCACCCTGGCTCCAGATCATCTCCCCAGTTACTGTCCTCTTCTCTCCACTCTGTCCATTTCTCCTCTGCTCCTATTCCCCCTTCCTTCTGGGTCTTACCTCTGTCCCCTCCCAACTCTACATACTATGCTCCCTACCTCTTCTACTGCTTCCAGTGCCCTCCTCCTCCCCACCTCCTTTACATGTTCTTGTTCTGGAGTCCAGCTTCTTCCTCCTCTGCATTTCTGGGAACTTTTCTTTGGGAGGGGAGATATTAATGAGAGCACAGGAGGTTCCTTACTCTCCTTTCTAGTGCTTGGTTTGCCCTGGCTTCTGTAAGGAGCAAAGCCAGAAAAGCCCTGCTCAGCCCTTGCTCTGGGGTAGAAAATGGCTGAGACATTGCGAGACAGTGCATGCGCCACTCAGCAGCATGA